GTCTCTTCCTTCAGGGCGCTCAAGGACCTGCAGGACCATCTGGACCCGCAGGAGCCCGAGGAATGGCTGTGAGTATCTTCATCTCCAACTACAAAACCATTATGTGACTTAAGATCAGATTCAGGTCATTCAAAGTGCTACACATGTGCAGCCATGCATTTAAATACTTGTTCAATCTTCACTCCAGGGACCCCAAGGACCCCGTGGAGACAAGGGAGAGTCTGGTGAGACTGGAGAGAGAGGACAGAAGGGTCACCGTGGATTCACTGGACTGCAGGGTCTTCCTGGACCTCCTGTAAGTATAATCCAAATCTCTTTTTGATGTCACTTCCCTTCCTCTGTCTGTTCTACTGTCTCATCTTATTGTCCCCGTCCTAACAGGGCCCCAACGGAGACTCTGGATCCGCTGGACCTGCCGGACCAAACGGAGCTAAGGTAAGAAAACTGAGTAAAGCAAAGAGCAAAAGAGGAGAAAAAGCTATTTTTCCATTTCTATCCTGCAGCTTTAACACCCGAGATATGTGATGGTAATGAAGGGCACAGGTTAGTCTTTTTGTAATTCTCCAATCACTTGAAGAAGCCTGGGACAGGAAAGGCCACGTGCTTTAATTACCCGGCGCTGTGATAAGATGGGCAGCCGAGGCATTTTGTAATTACTCTCTGCAAGGACAGAGGCAGAGGGGCAGAGGGACGGTGATTTGTGAAACCACTCCTGCTGAGATCTGAAATGGACTTCAATATCTATCCTCGATTAGCTAAGCGCTGCCTGATAAGGGAAATGAAGAGAAATGTCACCGTACAAATAATCTTCATGCATAATAAGGCAAAGGGTCTGGGGTGATTGGGGTAATAGAGAAGAACTGCTGGCCCATTTGAATAGCTTAATCAGATTTATTTTCTTAATCAGACCGCAAATGGTTCTGAAATATACTGCAGTTTAGAAAATGGAGCAATATTTCAGACATGCTAGCTTCTACTGGCTTTAACCTGAACACTTCCTGTTTCTGTAGGGACCTGGTGGACCATCTGGACCTGCTGGCAAAGACGGATCAAATGGAACGCCCGGCCCCATCGGACCCCCTGGACCTCGTGGACGTTCTGGAGAAAGCGGCCCTGCTGTATGTCCACAAAATAATAAAAGAATCCATAATCACCACAAGCCTTGCTACAGTCTGTAACTGATTCCCTGATCAATGTCCTGCTTTCCAACCTTCAGGGTCCTCCCGGAAACTCTGGACCCCCAGGCCCCCCCGGTCCTCCCGGCCCCGGCATCGACATGTCTGCCTTCGCCGGTCTGGGTCAGACTGAGAAGTCCCCCGATCCTCTGAGGTACATGAGGGCCGATGAGGCCTCCAGCTCCCTGAGGCAGCACGACGTTGAGGTGGATTCCACTCTGAAGTCCCTCAACAACCAGATCGAGAACATGCGCAGCCCCGACGGCACCCAGAAGAACCCCGGCCGCACCTGCAGAGACCTGAAGCTGTGCCACCCCGAGTGGAAGAGCGGTAAGTCAGCCGTGGGGAAAGATTACGATTGGAAAGCATTCAATAAGCTTGCCCTCTATTTCTAGACTTCAATCGTTTAAACCTCATGATTTCATCTCTCCAGGTACCTACTGGGTGGACCCCAACATGGGCAGCATTGCTGATGCCATCAAGGTGTTCTGCAACATGGAGACTGGAGAGACCTGCGTGAAACCAAGCATCGCCGAGGTGCCAAAGAAGAACTGGTGGACAAGCAAGAGCAATGACCGCAAACACGTCTGGTTCGGAGAGACCATGAATGGAGGATTCCACGTGAGTAAACTTACAATCTCGGTATAACTGATCTTAATAGTAAAAACGATCCTAAACGTGCTAATGACATCCCTAAATCTTCATCTTACAGTTCAGCTACGCTGATGACGGCCCTGTTGCCAACACTGGCAGCATTCAGCTGACCTTCCTGAGGCTCCTGTCCACTGAGGCAACCCAGAACCTCACCTACCACTGCAAGAACAGCGTGGCCTACATGGACCAGGCCTCTGGCAACCTGAAGAAGGCTCTGAAGCTGCAGGGCTCCAACGATGTGGAGATCCGCGCCGAGGGCACCAGTCGCTTCACTTACACCGTGATGGAGGATGGCTGCAAGGTGAGCGCAGACTGCAGCAAAATAGAGACAGAGGAAGCTCGACTTTAGTAGCTAGCTTTTACATTTAAATGATTTTTGTTGTACCATAACACTTCTCTTAACCCATTTTTCTATTTCCGCCCAACAGAGACACACAGACCGGTGGGCCAAGACCGTCATCGAGTACAAAACACAGAAAACCTCCCGTCTGCCATTCGTGGACATTGCTCCCATGGACATCGGAGGAGCGGATCAGGAGTTCGGAGTGGAAGTAGGCGCAGTCTGCTTCTTGTAAAGTGGAATATCACAATGGCCCCCCAAAAAGAACGCAGGAAATAAATAAACTCAAACCATGAACATTAACACACACACTTCCACAATAAAGAAGACTGGAAATTTATAAAAGAAAATTGATACTTTTTCTCTCACAACGAACAAAGTGCTCTCCAAGTTGTACTCCCTGGAAGTTAGCACTGAAGGGCACCGGCAATATCCGTACACCACACCAGCATCAACCCGTCAACCCGCTTCCTGAGATCCAGTCATGTTTCCCATGGCCTACTGTTGACGGGGTCGAGTCAGAGCCAGGAGGAAGAGGGACCAAGCGAACAAGTTATGGAGAACAGAAACATGACTTGATGTCACTTATTTATTGTCTAACCTGAATGGGCAGAGTTGAGGTAGGACTGGACGGGTTTACTTTGTAAGTAAGAGAAGCCCCCTTTCCACTACAGAACAGCCGCACAGCCTCTGTCCCAGTCCTACTCCACCTCCCTCCCTGTTGCCCTCCTGACACACAAATACGGCATTTTGAATCAGTGTAGACCAAAAATAAAATCAGTAAAATCAAATCCAGGTTCTCCACGCCTCTCCATCGTGAGCAGGAGTTAACCCTTTACTGTGTATTATAAATCCTTGGTTCTATTGTTGTAAAAGTCTGTGTTTATAAACAACCAGATGGTCTTATATATATTTCCACATTATGTGTGTACATGTGTCTATATGCACACCAACACTTTTTGGAAAGTGAGGTCACCTTTGGGATGTATGTTTCCATGATACCCCTCGACTGCCCATCAGAGGAAGGCCCAGTTATCATCCCCCCCCCCCCACATTTTTTTTTTAAAGAAGTTGAGTTTTTTTTTTTCTTTTACTGTAGCCATCCGGATTGTTTAAAGCTACCTCACTCTGAAAAACAAAGTGAAAATGTTTAAATCTGGGATCTGGGGCTAAAAGGCCATTTATGCTTTGGGTTGCTCTCTCTTCAGAAGGTGCTATGAGTTCTTTAATTCAGTCTCCGCCCAACGCCCCCCCCCCCCCCCCCCCCCTCACAAACCCTTATTCCCACTAGCCTCACACCACACACTCACACTCCACCCTGCAGGAGGGGTGCAGTCGGGTAAAGAAGGCGAGACATGGGCAACTTTGGAAAGCCTCCTCTGGAAAGCCTCAAAGGGGGCTTAGAGGAGGGTCGCTCAAAAACAAACCAGGGTGGGTTGTCTCTGTGTGTGTGTGAGGGCGTGTACATTTTTTTATTAATTTTATTATGATCATTTTTGTTTTGTTACACTTCTAATGGATGTAAATTGGAAAATAAAAGGAAAACCGAATTAAGAATGCAGTTGATTTTTAATTGTGTTTTGAATAAAAACAGAAATAGCGTGGGGACGTATTTCTACTTTCAACAGAACAATTGTGCTCAAATGTTTTTTTTCCTGTTATACTTCATGAGGTCAGTTACTCTTGACTGTGAGTGGAGAGTGTGTGTGTGAGTGTGTGAAAGTTTAAGACTGTGTGTGTTTAATATGAGAGTCTAATAACAACAGGAACAGAAGTACTGTATTTGTTCTGCTGTGTCAGGGTGGGGCTGGGTGCAGATGGCTCCTGTGTGTCTGAACTAATAGGCATAAATAAAGATCATTTTGTTGACTGAAATCAAGTATTTTGTAGAGTAATTATGATTCTGAGTTACTGCGTCTCATACTGTGGCCAGCTTCTTCTCCGGTCGGTTCGGAGTAATAGAAGCTTGACTTAAGCCTTCAAAGCGACATATTCTTATTCAATAATATAAAGCACAATTAGCTTCTCAAACGTAACATTTCATACACATGCAGATCAAAATCAGGACACACAAAAACATGCTAGTAATTCAGATTGTGATGACAATAAAATCAATGACAATTATTATTAGGACTGCGGAAAAAAACCAAGATTAATGGACATTTAAGGGACAACTCCACTGATGAGTTATAAGTGAGCTTACCAGACGTCCATAGCAGATCATCTCTGCTGGAAGATATCACAGTAGCTGCTACACAAAACTGATGGTAGAAGAGTTGCATTGTGGGAAATCGTATAGGCACCAGGTGATGACTGGGAAGAAGAATGCCTAAAATATAAAGGTGCTGTCTACCAAGTCCATACGGCATAATTCTATACAGTATAAACTTCCTCTATAATTGTCAAAGTATATCGTCTTAGCAGTTAGTATACCAAATTAAAAACACTTCACCATTGCCAACAAAAAATTATACAATGTGTAAAATTGGGAAATTCAAAAGTACAACTTTGGAAAGTTCAAGAACAAAGAAGATTAGCTAAGATTTTTTGGAGCCTTTTTGCCACCACCCACAACATATTCTTATCTTTCCTTCAAGCTGCTCCTACATATCTTATCTGCATTGCAATGAGGGAGAGGTGACCAGATTAGTTTATTACCGTCTGCTTTGAGAATACTTTGTTATGTCACATTTCTTGTTTAAACTCACTACCGACACAACTAAAAGACTACAATCAATTTTGAATTGGACACTGCAGATATGTTAGGCTTTATTATTTTTTCAACTGAATGTTTGGTTCAAATGTTTTGAGAAATAAGGAAGCAAAACATGTCAGTTCAGCAGAAATGTACATATTTATTAACAATCCATGATAACAAAAATGACTTGAGTGAGTGTGTGACGGTGGGTGAGGGACAGTTAAGAGGCGAGTTCTGTGAAGAGCGACTGGTTGAAGTCTGCAGGTCTCTCCTGAGGCCGGGGCAGGGACGGGCTGCCACCCAGCCCAAAGTGTGGGACCCCAGTGCTCAGGAAGTAGAAAGGCACGTGGGTGATTCTTCCACTGGACCAACACTGAGGACAGACAGAAAGGTTACTTTGGAAAAGCCAATATCATTCATGTATGTTTCTGCAAGGTTCATCAAATGTGAGACTTTTCAATACCACATAAGATGCAATTTAATACCAATTGAAAACCCTATATAGGACCAAAATCACCACATTATTAAACGTTATCAAGTGTATGAAAATGTTAACGTTTAGACCTACCACAGTGAGCAGAGCTCCGTGCTGGAAGTTGGGACTGAACTGAATGAGTCTGGCCTCAGCGCCGGCCTCCCCTTGAACAAAACCACTAGAACAGAGAAACGTTTACAAATTCAGTACAGCTAGTAATACTACCCTGTCATATGTAGAACTTTAGCGCTCCACAAATATGAAATGCAACCACACATAAGAGTACAAACCAAGGCAGAAGCTCAAAGACGGGGTTGGTTCTCGTCTTGAACACGGCTATGACTGCAGGCCGGTCTGCTGCTTGTGGATCTCCTGAGAAAAGATAAAATATGGAGATGAGTTATTAAAATGTAAAATATAAATTATACTGATAGAGTTCATCGTGATTAAACAGAAGAAAAGCGAGACAGACCCTTGAGAAGCACCGCCAGCCTCTCTCCTGTTGAGTCCCACGCTAAAGACTGGATCTCTCCTCCAACACTGGCAGACAAATCAGACAGAGGTGAGCGAGTGATTGTTGTGTAACATGCAGAGAGGAAGTCAAGATGCTCTGAATAATGCTGCTGATTTCTGCTCATCAAAGCTTTGTGAAAATCATTATTTGTGCTTCAAAAGGTCTTTCTGTTTTCTCTATTTGATTTAAGAAGCCCTGCTCATCAGTTTTTAATGAAAAGCTCTTACATGATGTCTCCATCTGCCGTGTTAAAGGTCGTCTCTGATAGGTCGGCCACCACCGATGCTGCCTGCGGACCTTTGGATGTGCATGAAGAAACGCCTGCTGAATAACAACGACATCATACTGGTCAACTTTAGTCAACTTATCAAAACTCTTTCTGGTACTTTTACTAATCACTTTTTTCTTCAACTTTAAAAGAAAACATCTGCATATTTTGTGTTAAGCAGAGAGATGACCTGGAGAGTCAGTGAAGGTCAGAGCGTAGATGACCGCCTCCCCCTGTACGGTGAAGAGAAGGCGACTCCCGTCTGGACTCCAACAGCCAGACTAACCAAAACAAACAAAAAAATACGTTTTTTGTATTAATAGATACACTGGTAGCATTTAGATAGATTTTTTAAACTGAACTGTTGGTTCTGATATTTAACTAAACCATTTTTACTTAAAAAAAAAAAAATTAAAAAGCATAAACAAACAATATTTTAACTTTTCTCTGAAGGATCAAATTCAATTATATTTCTGTTAACAATGACTATTAAAGAAGTAACATTGCTTCCACAACAAACATAAAGTTACACAACCTTCTTGTTTACAACACCCTGTTTTTAAGGTTGTTCTTCACTGCTAAAACTAATAACATTCTCCTTCTAGAGCGAGCAGTGGCCCATTATTCTGCACATCTACCAACTTACAATAACTTTAAAAGAGAGACAGGTTTTACCTGGCAGCGTCCTTTCACACATGGCCATCGCTCACAGGTCCACATCCTGGTTTCCCAAACCCTGAAGAAAGACACGATAATTATCGAAGTGTAAAAACTCAAATGACTGCCCACTTATTACAGGGTTCATACACTTTTTCACCAATGATTTTCAATGACTTCTCCATGACCTTTACCTAATTTTCCATGACCAAAATATTTACTCTTTCTCAGCGGTACCACTGAAAATGGTTTATTTTAACATGGAACAGGAAAATAAGGTCTGCATATGAAACATGTTGTGCCTATCTAAAACAAATCAAATAGTAGGCTTACTAGCTTCTACACGCTAAAGCAACTAAAATCTCTCACCAGCAAAATACCTCGACAGTTAAATGCCATTTTACGTTTCATTACTATACAGTATTTATTATCATTATAGTATTACTATTTCGGCGATTAGATACAATATAAATTATATTTGATGCAACTTTGGTTACATTTCCATGACTTTTCCAAAACTTTGGGAAAGATATTGTTTTCCATAACTTTCCCAGGGCCTGGAATTAGCATTTTGAATTTCAATGACCTCTCCCGGTTTTTAATGACCGTAAGAACCCTGTTATTATCTTATAATACCTGTTACACTCAGACTATTCCACTAATCCCTCACAACCTTAAACATATTCATGAGAGCCAGTCTTTATTATAATACACAAGGCATTTCACATCTTCATTGGCAGCTTTACATACTGTATCTAATGTAGCTCTAAAATGAGGGTAAGATTAGAAAATGTTTTTGAAACGTTTGAATCCCTGAAGTCTCTGACCTGAACAGGGCTGAGGGCGTGGAGGCCAGAACATGGCTGCCGTCAGGGGACCAGGACAGGAAGGTGACCCCCCCCCCCTCCGACACGCTGAAGAGGCACACAGCTCTCTGCAGCCACGTCCCAAACCTGAAGATACACAACACAGCACACACACACTTTGTGAACCAATGAATGTGAGATTAATTCGATTTAAGAATAAATGGATTGCCTCGTACCATCATGGCGGTGTCCATGGGGGAGGCGGACACCAGCAGAGAGCCGCTCGGCGACCAGGAGATGGACGTGATGGGAGAGTGACCGGGCTGAGACAGAACCTGAGCGCAGCCGGAGGAAGGCCTGGAGAGGAAGAGGAGCACAGGGATACACAGTGAGGTTCAACGAAGAAAATATTTTTTTGTCTGTACCGGTGTTTAATAACCAGCATAGACAATAAAATGAATAATTATTAAAGAAATATTTCAGCCCTAAAATCAATTTAGAATACATTTTTCACTCCATGTCAACTTGAATGAGGAAACAAATGATTTAACGCTTGGTGAATAGAATTGTTAACAAGAGAAAACATCAAAAATAGGGCAGCATAATTTGGAGTAAATCACTAGTTGGCATTATATATGTTGGCATAGCAATTGCAACTTGATTTACGATATTAGAGAGAATGATAATTTATTAAATAGAATTCACTTTATCATTAAAAATATATAATGATTAAGTCATGGTGCAATGTTTTGAGAGGATCTGTACCAAACAAGGACTTTTGAATTAAGTCTGGTGAACACCGTTGTTAGCCCACAATATTTCATTCTGGATGACATTTTCACATATTTGCCTTTACCAACTAGTCCATATTGCAATTTCGATAACAATTCTTTAATTGTGCTGCCCTTAATTTAAAATAAATCAGTTTAACTTGTGCAGTATAATCCAAGTCTCCTCTAACCGGTCAAAAGCAACCCCTAAACACATCTTCACTTCACACACCTGGTGGACAGGGAGCAGGGGTCGACGTGCCACACCAGTAAACAGTTCTGACAGGCGACAGCGAGCGCCGACGCACACAGAGGCTTCCACTGAACCGCTGCGACACTCTTCTGCAGACGGTGCTTCAGCGTGGGGGTGGTGGCACTGAGAGACACGAGGACAAGAGAGAGTAAGGGGAATAGTGTCACAGAATGACAGAGCAACATAAGAACGATGCTTTTCAAGGAGGCGGACATAAAATCAGATTCTGTGTTTGTAGATGTCCTGACGACACACAGCTTTATTAACCATGCCAAGGAGGTTCTGTTTGTGGCTGTTTGTTGCAGAATTACAATAAAACCGCTGGCCTGATTTTCATGAAACTTGCTGACAGAGTGTAGCATCGGCCAAGGAGGAAGTCATTCAATTATAGAGAGGATTTGAATCATGGGGGGTGGGGGGGGATACATGCATTATTGGTTACAGCCTTGGCAGAGGTTTGCACTCCCTACTGGGACATGACAAAATGGCTTCGCTTTAAGGCCAAATGTATTTGTTCAACCTTCCTAGACATGGAAATTACCTTAATTATTATTTATCTGCTTGGCTAGTAAATTCTTAATGGCGCTGCCTGTTGCCCTGCATGTTTATACAGTTTACTAATACTCTACTATTTTTGGACTAATAAAGCTGCATTTGTGTACATATTTCATTGTTGCTTTTTAGAGCTTTGATCAGCAAATAATCTACACTGCATATATTTTTTTATCACAGATATGCAGCGTCGACACTACCTTTTGGGGTTGTAGATCTTAATGGAGTCGTCCAGCAGGGCTAGAGCAAACTTATCTGCGTGGGGGTGCCAGGCGAAGGCTCGCACCACACAGTCCGACCTGGTGAAGCAAGAAGGCAACTTGTTTCAATCAAGCAACAGTTAAAATACCCAAAGATATTCAGTTAGCTTTCATGTAATACAAGCAAAAACAAGAGATTTTCACATTTAAAAACCTGAAACCTTGAAGAAATTACTTCAAATTATAATTGTCACAATTGTGGAGGATAAATGTTCTGATGATTCACAAATATGAATCAAATAATTATTCCAGTTAAAGTTAAACTGTGTCGCCAGTATGTCTGCTCACCACTTGTTCATAATAAATAGAATCCTTTATTTGCCCTTTGAGAGCAAAATTAAACTACAGATAAAACAATTTAACACTTACCAGTTGAGCACTTGTGAAAACTCAGCCAGCATGTCCTCACTGCTCATCTACACAGCGAACGACAGGTGAAAAGATGTTCAGTAAATGCATCACAACAACTATCTGTTAATTAAGTGTGAAGAACATATAACTCACTGTGAGATGAGGAAACAGGGAGCCGTGGAAGGAGGAGAACCATCGGATCAACGCCAGCGTGAAGCCAGAACTCACTGACATCCATTTAGGCACTGCAAGGACACAAGATACAGGAGAGGGCATGTATAAACATCAGTGGGTATGACGGGTCTCTTCATTAAGTGTTCAAATAATCAGAATATGTTGGCGTACCTTCTGTATTTGAGTTGGTAATTTCATCCAGTAGCCCTGTGAAACCACCATCCCGCCTGAAATGGACAAATAAGAAGCATAAATAACCTTAGTCTGTAAAAGATGAGACAAAATGTTGATATTACAGCATACAGTGTTATATGATTTTATGCAAAACAGTGTTGTAATACTGGCTCAGATATTTTTGTATGTTGTTAAAGTGTGAAGAAAGGAGTTTGATCCAATTTGACTAGATGTTGTTTAATACGTTATGTGTACTTACTTTGCACGCATATAATTGTGGGCTTCATCGTGTGTGTGTGTGTGTATGTGTATGTGTATGTGTATGTGTGTATGTGTGTGTATGTGTGTGTGTGTGTGTGTGTGTGTGTGTACCATGCTGCTGCGCTCCTCATCCACAGTGTTTCAGAGTGGTCCAGGAAGGCTGCCTTGCTGCTGCTTTCTGTGCGACAGTGGAGCTTCAGAGACTCTCGGGGAAAATACAAACTCAGAGGACTCGACTCCTGCAGAAGACACACAACCATGAAGCTTTTACCAGGCAAGTACGAAAACACAAGCAGTGACAGGTGAGAGAATATCATCACATGCATGCAACTCTTCAATGTGTACTGTGTATAACTAATCTAAATGTGCCCAATGCTGTGAGAAAAAGGTTATTTATCCTTAAAATATTTGGAATAAATTGGACATCACTATGTCACATGACGTGGAATATTTCAAAAATATTCAATAATAATAATAATAATAATAATAATAATAATGTATGTTGTATTATCACCAACATATTAATTAAATAAAGGGTAGTAATGATATCTGGTATCGGTCTCGAGTGACTGGATCACATGACATGGAAGCTATTGAAAAAATCTTCTATCTTCAATTCCTCTCGTATCATTATTCAAAAAGGTTCACATAAGTCACATTCATATTTTGTTTAAGTACAGTATTGAAAATAGCATTGGTGTTGTGTAATTCATAGGAACATGTAATGATGGTCCCTGAGTGAAAGCCTGTGGTTAGGAGCAAGGGCTCAGCTGTGAACTAACCTTCCTACAGTACATGAGTGAATGTCTCAGGTTATGGTATATCTAAAAGGTCTGTGAAGTGACACCAACAGCTTTGAATCAGACTACATCATGTCTTTTAACGTTATTAATTCATATTCATACACAGGCTCTGAATCCGACCTGTTTGAGTCGGTCTTCCGTGGAGCCTCCTCCGGACAGCAGCTCGTTGTTGGACTCGCACAGAGTGCTCTGTCCGGCGGGCAGAGGAGCGGGGAACAGCGCCAGAGAGCACATCTTCAACACGGGGAAACCACTGGAAACACACCATGGGTCAGTCAGGTAAACACAGAAAAGTGGATGATATTTTCCATTCTTAACAGTAGACAGTGGCAAACAAATAGCTAGCTACCTTACACTAACAGTTAAAGTTAGCTAGCTGGCTCAAGCTAACCTAACTAGTTTGATATCGGCCTCGTTATGACAACAGAAACCGTAGCTCTTCGTTTTATATGTGCTAGAAGTTACCTTGTATTGTGTCCTGCGTAGTGTGGTCAATTATAGTCCTTTGTGTTTCCAAACAACAAGATAAAAGTGCATGCTGAGTTGTTGTGACACTTTTTTAGGTTGCTTTTTCAGGTAATCGCGCCGTGTGGACTACAGCAAGCGAGAGGGACAAACAGCGCGGAGTTCGGCTACAGAGCGACGCTATGCTGCCCTCTTCAGGACACAGAGCGACATGACATCTGCACTTTCCCAAAACACACACCAAAGGTTTTTTTTAAAGAGTTGAGATGACACAAACAGTCCCTTTACTTAACTGAAAAATAATTTTAATCAACACAAATGTTTCCGGTAATGTATTTCCTCCATGTAAACCGTGTATTAACTTGTCCACATTAGCTAAACTAAATTAGGCATATGATTTGTGATTAAATAAACATAATAATAATGCTGTCATTATCAAAATCAGCTTGACCAACTATGTTTACGTATATTAGACATTTATGGCAATGCTTTAAGAGTTCTTTGTACATAAAATAGACAAAACTGCTGGGAACAAGGGAAACAAACCTGGATAAATAAAGGTAAGGAACAGACAAGTCTGCCATGTACACAAGTATTTGGAAAAAATAGACATAAACGTATGTGAATATGATATAAACTACTGTAAAAAGCACAAATGACCAACAATTAAATAAAATGGAAAATGTCTGTTGTGTAAACTATACAAATGGTGCAAAAAAACACTGAAAGCACATTCATGGACTGTACAGTAGTTAGGCTTATTACGTACAGATTACTTAGCAAGTAGGATTTATTTTCACAGTGAGAGATTATATTTATAAAAATGTGTTCATTTAAAAACTGTAATATTATAATTTGAGCAGGGGATGTTTTAGCGTTACAGGGTTTTTAATGGGCATTTCCCTCCTCTTCACCAGTGAAGGGCAAAGCAAATAGACAGTTGCACTCCAGCCTCCCTGGAGCGAGCTGGCAGGGATCCAGTGTGTGTTGCTCAAGGACACATCAGCAGCAACAGCAGGGTGGATGCTGGCTGACACATTGTAAGATAAGAGATAAGATCAGATCAGATAAGTGACTGTATTATCATCCATCTATACAGAGTGCAGTACAGTAAATAGGGGAACAATTGTGTTCCCCTGGTCTCGTTGCAAAACAAAAGAATGAACAAATCAGGTGGAAACAACACAATACTAAAACAGGCACATAATAAGATACAAAACAATGTTCAATAATTCATGTAGAGCAATTACAGAACAATATAGATAGCCAATTTAAATAAAGGTAGCGTTATTAAGTGTAAACAAATAGCATCATACTGGTTAACGCTCAAATTAAAATAATGGATGTTATGATGGAAAACTGAAGCCGCGTGCATGTGTGTTTCTGTGTCTGTGTTTGTGCGCGCACGTGTGTTTGCAGAGGGTGGTGGGAGCGCCCCCTCGCGGCGCAACTTGCATTTCCGTGACGTCAATTCAGCACTGGGAAAGAGACAGCTCCCTCCCCCCCAAAAACCCAGCGCGCCTCACGTTGCATGGGTCCTCGGTTATTGATAACACAATTTGCCCGGTGGGATCCATCCCGGTTGTGTGAAACGCGTGGATACAGGGACTGGAGATACAACAGCCAGCGCGCAGAGGAAAAACAACAATCTGCTCATTAACACCGACAAATAGAAAGCCGAGCCCACCCCTTCACTTGACAACGCGACATCAAGCAGGCAGAAAGGTATGGGAATGTCATACTATACGGTTAAATGCTGGTGTAATAAGAAATCATGGATCACAGGACGTTAAGTTATGATGCTCGGTGCGGTAGCGTTCACGCCGCTCACACTGCACCACTGAACCGATGCTGCCAAGAAAGGAATCATCGTCTATGGTAGCTAGAAAATCATATTTGTGCAGCAAGAAAGCCCACATTGCGAAATATTTGTGTTGGTGCCAACGTTGAGTAAACGCTGAGACGCTGCGGCAGTTTCACTTGGCATGGACTAGTAGGCATCGGGCTCATGCACGTTGGTTATGATGCTGCTGAGTGTCATCATCACATCCTCGGTTATTTAAAGATTGATCTTCCTGCGTTGGTGGTGTGTGTGGTGTGTGTGTGTGGGTGTGTGTGTGTGTGTGTGTGTGTGTGTGTGTGTGTGTGTGTGTGTGTGTGTGTGTGTGTGTGTGTGTGTGTGTGTGTGTGTGTGTGTGTGTGTGTGTGTGTGTGTGTGTGTGTGTGTGTGTGTGTGTGTGTGTGTGTGTGTGTGTGTGTGTGTGTGTGTGTGTGTGTGAGAGAGAGAGAGTACTGCTCCTTTGCACAGGCCTGCTGGTTGTTTATTGCCCATTTTTTCCACACTTTCATTTCGCTCAGTCGTCATGGCTCTTCTCGTGCAGTGGTGCAGTACAAGAAATGGAGCTGGTGTGAGAGTGAATTGGGTACATGTGCTCTCTCTCTCCTTGTCGCTCTCTCAGACACTTGCAGGCACTCACGCACGGGACGTACGTACACATCCACACTGAGGTGGTTATGCAATTCGTCATATTCCTCAGATGCACACAATGCTCTTTACTTGATGCACGATATATGGAGCTGCAGAGTATAGCTTTGCTCAGATGTTGTCAGATACTGATGTTAAATCACAGGTGATGGACTGTGTGCTGCACAACCTCCTCTGGTAGATTCATTCATAAACCTCCTACTCCACTCTGGTTGATGGCTCCACTGGGCATGATGGCTTTTCCATTCACAGAGAAAGAGGTTTTACTGCAGGATTCAGACAGAATCTGGATGTGGTTAAACTGGGGGACTGGCTGGATGCCCAACTCACTGCACGACTCCACTCATTGATTGCTTTGCATGGTTTGAATAAAAGTAAAGTTAGTGCAAATGCCAGTCATTTCTTAAAAGATCAAAGGAGACAGTAGAAGTGAAGGGAGCAGCAGCACTGGCCAGCTCCAGCTGCATTGTGGAGCTGACAATAATCGACAGTTTTAAATCTAATAAGCAGTCAGCATTCACAAACTTGAATATAACATATGATTATACTGACAATTATTAATTGGGGATGAAGATCTCTTACTTAAGTTAAATACAAGTCAAATGCCCTTAAATACTAATAGCAAAAGTAATCATACTTACAGTAGGCCTATTTCAGAATAATATATACTTAATTTTTTTTTTTTTACATATGATTCCAGGTAGCTTGTGAATGTCACAGAGGTTTTAAAAAGTGTTAGCTTAACCTCTAATAATGCGTATTTGTTGACTACATTTTGTATTGTTGATCTGAATCTTCAAGTGACTCATAATGTAAAATCAAAGGGGTGGAGTATAAAGTAACATTTTTGCCAGATGTAGTGGAGTAGAAGTATAAAATTACATGGAAAACTTAAACTATATACTATAAATCATCCTAATGTTATCATAAATCTTCTCCTCCAGGCGAACGTCTCATCTTTCCATCCTCCACCCTAACCTGCCGTGTTGGGGATACCCCTAATGAGTGGGACCTGTATCCATGAGCCCCGCGCCCCTTCCCCCTCCCTGTCAGGCTTCAGCACCCCCATCTCAGAGCCCCCCTATCGAAGAATCGATGGAGACACCCCTGCCTGCACCCCCGAAACGGACCTGACGCCCACACAGTGTGTCATCCGCAACCTGCTGTCCATCGACACCGGTGGACCGGGGGCTCCGGGCGGCAGCAGCCCCACCCCCAGTGATGGACCCTCAGCCTACTTTGACAACAGCGTGCTAAAACTACATGAACATGAGGCCTGCCAGTGTGGCGGGGGGGCGGAGGCGGGCCACAGTCCAGAGGCTGGGGCTGTTCGGAGCCAGTCGGATAACATTCGGCTGCAATCAGGAAGCGGAGGTTTTTTGGAGGGACTGTTTGGCTGCCTTAAGCCGGTCTGGACCATGATTGGAAAGGCCTACTCCACTGAACACAAACACAGCCATGAAGGTATGTGACAGCAAGTGATACACTTCTGAGCTCTCTGACCCGTATGCCATGCAACAAAGACTATTTAGATTTAACATTTATTTGATATTTAATATTGCAATTTAACATAGTTCCAATTCAGAGCATGAAACTGATCTTTCATTAACTATATGTATCATTGTAGGGTTTTTATAGACATAGATACACCCTAGACAATAAGTATATAATCTCTAGATGAAGCTTGTACTCCACAGTCATGGGAAAAGTATTACATTATGCTATTTAAGTAAAAGTACCAAAATATAATTAAAAATACTCCATCACTTGTGAAAATTCTTCATTTATAATCCTGCCGCACAGATGTAATGTTCGTAAAATGTACTTCAAGTATTGAAAGTAAAGGGACTCGTTCTGCAAAAAACAAGCACACATTAGATTGTTGTTGATGCATCCATGCATGATTAGCTGGTACAGGAGGACATCATTGATCTACTTTATCAACTTGTAGTTTTATCTAGTGTGTTCCAACCTAAGGGGTTGGGCAAGATAAGGTGAAGGGGTTGTGAGAAAATTCATGGGAACCTTTTCTGATCTTTCCCTTTCTGTTTTGTTAAATATCGGATGGCCTAACATTGGATTGTGTGTGGTGGAACAACCTGTGGACACAAGCTCGAGAGTTTAAGAGGCATTTGTTTAATTAAACAATATTGTCTAAGCTCATCATATGTTTTTTTAAATATAAATCTAATCTTAAAGTAACTATCAAGCTGTAATAACAATGAAGTGGCGTAAAAACTACAATATTTAGATCCAAAATGTAGTGGAATAAAAGTGTAAGGTAGCCAAAAAAACAAATACTGAAGTAAGAGAACATACAATGTGTACTTTAGCGCAGTACTTGAGTGAATACACTTTATTTTCACTAGAGGAGTGGGGGTCATTCACAGTAGCAGCTACAGTGAGTTTTCACAGCTGGCCGGATGGGGGGGGGCATCCTGTGCATCTGCCCCCGCCGTAGCTGCTCTCCAGATCTCGACACTTCAGTGGACCTCATGAAGAATTGATCTGCCTGTCGTCCTTATTCTGCCCATCTCTCTTCAGCGACCGTACTCACAGTCGTTTAACTCACGTCAGTGTGACAGATGACAGAGAAAGATTAGACTATGAGTGGATTGTTTCTCCCTCAAATGTTCCCTCATCT